GGAGGCGGGGGGAAAAAGGAACCCTCATACACTGCTGGTGGGACTGCAAATTGGTACAGCCACTATGGAAAACAGTATGGAGGTTCCTTAAAAAAGTAAGAATTGATCCACCATATGATCCAGCAATCCCTCTGCTGGGTATTTACCCCAAAGACCTGAAAACCCTTATCTGAAAAGATATTTGCACACCGATGTTCAGATAGCAGCATTATTCACAGTGGCTAGGACATGGAAGCAACCTAAATGTCCTACAATAGATGATTAGATAAAGAAGCTGTGGTACATATATATGGAATAACACTCAGCCATAAGAACAGATGCAATACTGCCATTTGCTACAACATGGATGGAACTTGAGATAATCATGCTAAGTGAAATAAGCCGAACAGAAAAAGTTGAAAATCACATGATATCACTTATATGTGGGATATAAACCTAAAAGCAACAAATGAACAGGAGAAACAAACAGAGACACATGGACTATAGACTAGTGGTTATCAGAGGACTATAGAGTAGTGGTTACTACTGGAGTGGTGAAGGAGGTAGACGGGGTAAAGGAGGTCAAATGTAGGCGGGTAGGAGGAAGGTAAAGTGGGTAAAGGGGATCAAACATATGGTAGCTGAAGGAAAATGGACTTTGGGTGGTGAACACACAATAGAATATACAGATGTCAAATGATAATGTACACCCGAAAACTGTATGACTGTATTAACCAATGTTACCCCAAAAAACTTAATTTAGGAAAAAAAATGAATTATAGATCTAAGTGTAAGATAAAGTCTTACTGACTTTGGATTTGGCAATTTATTAAATACAACATAAAAATGACAAACTTTGAAAGAAAAAAAAATTGGCCTTCATGAAAATTAAAAACTTAAGAAAATGAAAAGACATTTCTTTCTGAGACTTGGAGAATATATTTGCTGTACATACACCTGAAAAAGGACTTTTATCTAGAATATATAAAGAACTCATGCTAATCAGTAAGAGGATGAATAGCCAATAAAAATATGGGGAAAGATATGAACACTTTATCAAAGAAAATATACAGATAAGCAAAGAGGCACATGAAAAGATGCTCAGCATTATTAATTAGGGAAATACAAATTAAAACCACAATAAAATAACATTACATTCCCATTAATGGCTCAAATTAAAAGACACATCATACCAAGTGTTAGTGAGGATTTGGAGAAAACTGGGACTCAGACTGCTGGTAGCGACATATAATGGCACAATCACTTTTGAAAATAGTTTGGCAGTGAAATACATGTGACCCCATTTCTTTCCACTCCTAGAGAAATGAACAATTTGTACAAAATATTTCTAGAAGTTTTATTTGTAAGAGCGCCAAAATCAAACTCAAATGTTTATTATAAACAGGTGAATGGAGAAATAATGGTATATCCCTACATCCATACAATGGAATAATACTTAGTAAAAAAGAAAAAAATTACTCATGCACACACATGAATAAATCTCCAAATGATGATGAAAGACAAGCAAAAGATATAGATATGGTATGATTCTATTTTTATATAATTCTAGAAAATGCAAACAAATCTATAGTGACAAAGCCAATCACTGATTGCCTGGAGACAAGAACAGCTAGAGGGGTTATAAAAGAGCACAAGGAAACTTTTGCAGGTGGTAGGTATGTTCATTACCTTGATTGAAGGGGTTTCATGAATGTATACATATGTCAGATGATGCACATCCATTCCAACTATGTTTAGAGGTGTCAGATTGACAGCTGCATCTGGCTACAGTGGAAATTATTTACACCACACAAACTGGCAAATGTTACTACAAAACCAGGGCTATTCCTTAGACAGCTGGTGAACATTTACCAGCCCACCACTAGCTATAACAAACATGTTAAAAAGCTCATTGGAATTCTTAATGTTTTAATTGTGCAAAAAGATTCTGAAACTAGGCTAAAAATTCGCCTTTATCAAGCTAGACACTATTACTAGGGAGAAAAAGAGACTCTGACACTTACCCCTATCAAGAAACTTGCAGAGACATACTTCAGTTGCCTTGACCAAAAGCTACCACAGCCATCTTCCAAAGGGCTCATTGTTGACACAGTCTTTCTTCCAAGACCAGGAGGCTCTGGGGTTGAATCTTTAGCTCCTTCTGGAATGTAAGAGCCCAAAGGCTGCTGGAGGGGCGGCCCTCACCTCTAGCAAACACCAATGACCCATGACTTGCTTGCCACAGCTACTCACAGACCAAAAACCTGACTTTAAGGTATTGCTTGAAAAAGTATATCAGACCAAGTTTTCTACATAGTGGATTCCAATTCCAGCAATGAGATAAAAGATTTAGGACACAAACACATTTGTATCGGGTGAATCAACCACCAGGATATGGGAGATCTGATATTTTTACCAACTGCTTTGAGGCAATTTAAGTATGGAATAAGGTTTAGAGCCAAATCCTTCTCCTAATCTTCAATGGCAGCTGGAGTCCTTTTAACTAATATGGTGTGGAGAATATGTGTGCTGAAGCTGTATCATCTCGAGAGGGTCTGCAGGAACAGAAAAGATTGACATTTTAAAAAATTTTTAAAAAGAAAAGATCTCCACTGAAGAATTCAGCAGAGAGTTGCTTATGTTGCAGAAATATATCTTCCTATTTCCCGACAGGTTGGAATACACCTTAGGGCTTTTTCGCCTCCACTGCATAGAGGTCTGATCGCTTCTGGCTAAAAATGGGAATTTGCTGGCGTATTTCAGCCACCTTCTTCAGGTCTGCAAAAACAGGAAAGTACACTATTAATAAGATGTAACTCTTCACTAACCAAGGGGATTTCTTTCCCAAACGGTATAAAAACCACCAGAGCCTCAGCAAGTAACTCAGTAATAAAGGCCTTGTCTAGAAGCACAGATGGCCTGGCACTGCCCCTGGAGTCATAAACCAAAACCAAGAAAACTCAAACTGAACTGCACCCCCGAGGACTTGGCCAAAGAATCAAAGATAAATGAGGCAGTGGTGTGGGGCGGGGGAAGAGTGCATAAAGGAACCCCTTCAGGTGACAGGGGCTGCCCAGCTATGGAATCTACCTTGTGCCAGGCAGATCTTACCTATGTCTGAATACACGATCGTTTCTTCAGTACCAGCTTTGGCAAGGACCTCCCCCCTGAAAAAGATTCAGGGGAGAATGACTGGATTCACTGTTTGCTGATATTCAAGACCTCTCTCTGTTTTTCCTCCCCATCTCATAGGCCAAAGGAGAAAGAATCTGAGATTTAAAACAAGTAGGGGTATAAACTCCTATCCTACCATTTAAGTAGCTGTGTGGCCTTGGGCCAAGTCATTTGTAATCCCCATTTCCTAATCTCTAAAGTGGAAATAATAGCTCCATGAGAACTTAGTGAGAAAATTATGGAGTATGGTTTGCAAACTGCGTTTGTTATTCTATGATATAAACATCTGGGAACAGAACCACCTATAACCAACAGGAAGTGCCATCCTATCCCATGAGTGCACGTGAGCAGGGCCCCTTTGCAAAGGCAGTCTGGCTCTGCTTTTTCACACCTCTCAAGGCTGCTCCCCGATCCTGCCATGGTGAGGCTGGGCTTGGGCACAGCCCAGATCTGCATGGATCTCTGGCCTTGTGCCTGTGATCCTCAGATCCCTATGCTAATAGCCTTTAGTTTTTGAAGGAAAGATTTCAACTTGTGAGGTCTGGGTGGTAGGGGGATCACACCCTGGCAGGAGTCTCACACTTAGAAACAGCAATACTCCTTCATAAATCTGGGGAAAGGCTGATCTGGAAACCTATTTCCAATGCTGAGTCTCTTGGCCCAAAGCAGGGCTTCAAAAACATATCTTGTGAAATAAAATTTCTACAAAGTACAAAACAAAGTATCTGACAAACTAGTTCTGTTTACCAGATGGCCACATATTCTTGGCATAAATGAACTATAAACATAATTAGTAATGCCATTTAACTGAATCCTTTTCTATTCTTTTCTATTTCTTCTCCATTTGCCCTGGCATTCAAAGATCTCTATGTTAACCCCGGGCAACCATCCCAACGTCAAGCCAGAAGGCCCCCAAACTCTACATATGAAATCCTGAAAAGGAAGAAATAAAAGTAAATCTTATACAGCTACTTTGTGTCAGAAGCAGCCAGCCTGATCATCAACTGAGTTCATTAGGAGAATTAACAGGGGAGCAGAGGTGCCCAAAAGGCCGGGAAGCCTACTGCTAGCATCTGGGCAGAGAAATTTGAATTATGTTAGAGAAAATCTTCAAGCCAATTTAATCGTTCCAGTCTTCCAATGCCCTCAAATTCTAATGTGCTGGAAGCTCCCTGGGATTTGCTCACTGGTCATATCTTTCAAGGACTTCTTCTATCACACACCTTAATTTGGTAGTCTTATAAAATCTGAAGAGAGACCCTTGAAGGACCCCACAGTGATATGTAACCCTTCTCGGCCTTATTACTGGTATATTTATCCTGAAATTGCAGAAATACTTATCTGTGTGGGCCTATGTAATCACACTGATGTATGAGAAGTAGAATGGCATAAATCCAAGTTCTGAAGTCAAATATCCTGGATCCAGACACAAGTTCTAGCCACTTTACCCTGTGAACTTCAATTCTACCATCTATAAACTGGGCTTAACAGAAGATAAGTCCCTGAAGTTCAAATTGAGACCATGTGTGTAAAAGTGCTATGTAAACTGTACAAATGCAGACCATAAGGTATGCATTTCAATGTATGACTGTATGTGTATCTGGGCAGACTTTCATGCTGGTTTCACCAAGTAAAAAAAAGGCTTTACCCTCTCACAGAGGACAAGTTCATAGTTTTCCTTACTTGAACCCACCCTTCCCTCCTCCTCTAATCATTATTCAGGGAACAAAATCCTCACCCTGTAACTCCTTTTTGCCCTAGGACCAGTCACTCAGTTTAAATTTTAACCAAAAGAGTTTGAGAGCCTCTTTTACTAAAACCACTGACTCGTTACTGCTGCCTTGTTACCCCTATGTTATCCAAGACTGACTGACAATAAAAGCTACTTAGAAACTCAGAAGAGGGCTAAGGCCATGTGCTCAACCAGGAGGGCAGGACCATTTCTCTGTCAGAGAGAGGCAGAGACCTGGCAGGCATGTGTGGATATGGGGGTGGGGTGAGGCACAGGGCTGATCACGCATCTGACAGCCCACCTGCTCACGTGCCATCTTTCTCAAGCTCCTAGTGAGCCTGTCCCTGCTTAGGCAACTTACCAAGGATTCACGACAGTGCTGTGTCCCCAAGCAACATAAGAGGCCTTTTCATCCCGGGCAGGAGATGCAGTGGCCACATACACCTGGTTATCAACAGCTCTGTAGTCAACAGACAGAAAAGAAGTAAATTATACATTATACGTCTGTGACATTTTCCTAAGTGTACAGATCCTTCTTTTTAAAAACTAGGACAGGAAAGGCTGGCTCAGATGTGGAGGAAATACCCAAAGTCATAGAACCCTCTCTTCAAAAAGTACCTTATTATATAAGCCAGTTCTCAATCAGGGCAATCTTGCCCAGCAAAGGATATTTGCCAGTGTCTTGAGATCTTTTCCATTGTCACAACTAGGAGGCGCTATTGGCATCTTATGGGTGGAGGCCAGGACTGCTGCTAAACATTCTAAGACGCACATGACAGCCCCCAAAGAATTTTGTCCAAAATGTCAATACTGCCACAGTTGAGCGACCCTGGCCTGAGCCAACCTGTAACATGTAAAAAAGCAGAGCTTCTGTGTTCTTAATGCAAGTCCAGGTGGCCAGAGAGAATGGACTGGCTTTGCTGGGGCAATACATCCTGCAGGGCTGCATGGCACTTCCATAGCAATGGTGGCAGCCTCATGATCTCAAATTAGATCAGAATTTCTGGTGGCAGCTTGGGTATATCAAGCCCTCAGGGCTCAATCAACAGATCCATGCCAGGTCATTTTAGTCTTTCCCAAGCTTTTCTTGCTTTTGACAAGATTGCATTTATTAGTACTCATGGTATCAGAAACTCCTACCCCATCTTCTACCATGCAGCTAGCCAAACACTGCTAAATCCCGCTCCAGTAAAAATTACCATCATCTCTAGAATTAAAAACAGTGGCTACCTCTGGGCAGAGAGAGGTGAGTACTGACTGGGAAAGAGCAAAAAGAAGCATTCTAGGGGCTGGAACGTTCAATATGTTGACCTTGGTCACAGCTGGATACATATGCAGAGATTCACTGACCTGTAGACTTAAAATTAGTGTGTTTTTCTGTAAGTATACCTCAATTTAAAAAACTTTCAATCCAAGAAAACCATCATCTCTGACTAGCATTTCATGGTTTGCAGAACACTTAACACACATGCACACACAGTAATATTCTGTTTCCCTTCCTTGTTACATCCACCTCTACCATCTGCCCTTCACCACTCCTCAGCCTTAGGGGACTAAGGAAACAGCAACTGTAACACGCCAGAAACACCTGTGCGATGCCCAGGATTTAGAGATTAGAAGAACCACAGCTTATAATGAGGTTATTGGCAGAGTATCCCCAGGACTAGCAGGCTGCTGTGGAAGATGGAGTGGGATAAGCACCTCAATCTGAACAGCACAGGGTCAGCTGTGTAAAGACCACAAATCTCTTCGTAGGGCTGTTAGGCTAAAATAAACCTCTGCTTTTCCTTGGCTTCTAGGTCTCTGAACATGAATACTCTGTGGGTCTCCAATCTCTCTGTAAAAGTTACTGGCAACTGTCTTAGGGACACCAACCCATATCTAATCACAGTACATGAAATCACTGTCCACTTGATGCACTAAGTGCTCTTGGAAATGCAAAAATTACAGTCCTAAAAGTCCATCAAACTAGTACTATGGTTTCTGAAGAGAAGGTTCCCAGCAGAAGCCTTCCCTTTAGTCTGAGAGATGAAGAGATTCATCTTGTTGAACTGCCAGGGCATCTGAGTTATGGGCAGCATTCCATATCAGGAAGGCTGATATTTCCACCAACATGGAAATCTTTCCACAAAGAAACATGCTTGAAGATATATTTGAAATGCTTTCTTACCTGCCTCGCTGAAGCAACTCCCAGTGAGCTGGTCCAGTGGTCAAATTAAAAGCTCCAGGATATACCAACAGCTGGCAGCCTTGGGGAGAGAAAGGCTGAAGAGTCAATGCAGTGAACACCCAAACACACAAGCCTCTCCCTTTGTTCCTTCCCCAGTGGGGACCAATTCAAACTTTCCCAAGCATAAAAAGATGTCAGCCAAGTCAGACAGTGTCAACATCATGAAGTTATGGCTCTGAATTCCTTTAGAGACACTCACATGACACACATACAGACACTCTAGAAAAGTGGTATTGATAACCGAAACCACAACATGTGACTTCGCTTAAAAAAGCGAAGAACTGTCATTCAGTTTTCTCTCAGCATCACATGGTCAGTTGTGCATGGCCAAGGACCATGCTGTGTTACGCTTTTCAACTGAAATGGGGGGCAGGGTAGGTATTTCAATGCTTATTGATAAAACTAAAGAGACTGCCAACCCAGAGCCCATGTATCTCCACTTTACGCTGAGCAGGCAAAACATTGCACCCATTTCCCTTTGCTAAGTGGCAGTTGAATCAGAATCAGAGTAGCTTGGGCAGTCTAGTGGGGATGCTAATATTTGTTGAGTATCATACAAGGAGCTTTGTAAGTTCTGTCTTCTTAATCCTTACACCATTCCTATGAATAAACTAAGACCCAGACTGCTCTAGAGATTAATTTACCCAAAGTATCATGCCAATTAGAAGAGGTGGAACCAGAATCCATATCTTCTGACTTGGTTTGGTGCTCTTTCTGGGTAATAGGACACTCTCTGGATCAAATGTCACTGACTACATTCCCACAGTAGCCACATCTAGGACTATTACATATACTGTGTAGTGAAATCCATGAAAGCATGGACCATGTCTTCATTTCTACTGGGCTTCAAGTGACTCTTTCCAAATACAGTAGCAGGAAGGGCTCAAAGGGTCGAGTAGATGTGTATCTAATTACAACCTCTGAAAAACCATACTGTCCATACACAGCACAAGTCTGAGAGGCGAGATGGGGGTGGAGAGATTACGACCTCTCGTCCAGTTTTTCTAAGGGTTCCCTCTACCCATAAAGACCAGCTCAGACTCAAACCTCCAAGAACCTACGCAACTGTAGTGTCACCTCACCTTTCTGTGCGTAGATTTGTGCAAGCTCTGCAAAGCGGATGTCGTAGCAGATGCCCAGGCCCACTCTGCAATAAGCTGTTTTCCAAACAGAAAATGCACATATGAAAAATTAACCCCCTGCAGCATGGTGTGGCAGGGTGAAGCCTCCTGATCTAATAATCTCAAAACACTGACAGGGATATAGTAATACAGGGCCCATGGATAGAGAAAACTTATAAGCTTATTCCTGCTTGGAATTCACCTCATAAAGACATCATTTACGTCAGCAGAGATGAGAAATTCATTCTAACTGAATGCTTATATAAGTGGGAGGTGTTCAATCACGACCTAATAGGTACACTTTGGAAGCTATCATATTAATAGGAGGCTATGCCTAAATGGAAGAACA